CATTCTAGATTTTTTTTACCTTGTTCTGAAAAGAAAAATTAAAAATCAAGACTTTGGACTCTCTCTAGTCTTCTAACAGATGTTACCTTCTCATGTTTATAATTTTTCCAGGATTTCTGATAGGGCTCATAGATCACATGTGGAAGGGATAAAAGAAAAGACATTGTATGAGCATCTTCTGTAGGCTCAGAGACATATCACACATTTTATGTAGCATATAAAATCTCATGGCTCCCTGGAGGTATGAATCATTAGCCCCACTTTATAGATGAATAAACACAGGCATATGTGTTAAATGATCTGCCAAAGTCAATGAGATCTGGGATTCGAACTCCATAGTACAAAATCTATGCTCCTAATACTCTTTATATCACAACATGTACCTACTATGGCATTTGGAACAAAAGATATAAACTCTTGATAAGTTATCCTTTGAATCTTGATAAAGTCTTAGTCCCAGAAATCTCCCTAATTCACCCCCTTAGAAGTAGCAGATGGTGATGGGATAAAGTGGCTTCCCCAAGGACCCAAATCCTGAGATTTAGGGTTAGCATGAAAGCCCAACCATGTTTTCTTGGTTTTCAATTCTTTGTTCTGGCAGTCCCAGTTCAAAGATCATTCTCTTGAAAAGAAGACATGCAAAATAATGGTTATATTGTTTTGCTTTCTCATAAACAATTGATTTTTCTCTGATAAAAATGATAAGCCTGGGGTTTTAGAACCACAGACCCTAGGTCAATTTCTGAGGTTCTACCACATTGAGTGTTTACCTTAGACAAGCTACTGAGCTCCCTGACCTTTAGCTTCCTTGTCTCTAAAATGGGTATGATATCACCTACCATCACTAAGTAACAAATGATTTAATTTATAGAAAAAATTAAAATATTCTGAGTATTAAATATGCTTTATTTCATGGAAAGTAGTGGGTATAGTCCTTGGTGACAGCAATAACTCCTTCCTTGGCAATAGCTTAGAGCAATGATTCTCATTCCTGATTGGGCATCAGAGTCACTAGTGAAATTTCAGAAAAATTCAAGAACAAACAAACAAAAATCCAAAACCCATAAAGGAAGTGACTGAAAATATTAATTACATTAGAATTTTAAAGTTCAGTATGACAAATGATACCATAAACCCAAGCAGAATAAAGAGACTAGGAGAAAATGTCATCCACACAATGGTATTCAGATTACAAAAAATTGTCAAGAAATCAGTAAGAACAAGATAAAATTGCAGCAGAAAAAAATTTAAATCCTAATGGACAAGTCACAATTTACAAAAGAATAAAATCTAAGGTCATGAAAGATGAAAAGACACCCCATCATCTCACTCGTAATCAGGGAAATGAAAGTTAAAACAATAAATTACCACATCCCACCCACTCTATTGGCCAAGATTAAAAAGTAATAATAAGCAAATAACCTTAAAAATATAGAGAAATGAGTGTTCCCACAGTAAACTAATGTTAGCATAAATTGTTACAGGACATTTGGAGAACAACTTAGTTTCTTTTAGAACTAAAAGTGTTGGGGAACCTGGGTGGCTCAGTCGGTTAGGCATCCAACTCTTGATTTCAGTTCAAGTCACAATCTCAGGGTCATGGGATAGAACCTCATGTCAGGCTCTGCACTGAGCATGGAACCTGCTTGGGATTCTCTCTCTCCCTCTGTCCCTCCCCCAGCCCTGTGCTCTCTCTCTCTCAAATTAAATTAAATTAAAAATGTTCATCCCTAGGACCAGCAATTGAAATTCTAGGTATCTACCCTAGAGAAATATTTGCTCATTGCATACCAAAAAAATAAGAGGAAAGAACAGAGCATTGCAGAATTGTCTGTGACTTCAGAAAATAGGAAACAACATGGATGCCCAAAATAGGGGGATGGATAAATAAAACATGGTATATGCAAATTAAGAACTACTCTTCAGAAGTTATTAACTTGATCTGTATGTATCAACATGTATATATCTCAAAAACACTGCATTCAGAAAAAAAAATACATAGGAATTCTTCCTGAACACTTCATGTATAACTAACTGCTCTGAGGGTTTTACCTGCATTAAGTCATTTAATCCTCAGAACTACCCTTTGAAACAGATGCTATTATTATCATAAGGAACTGAAGCACAGAGAAGTCAAGCGATTTTCCCAAGGCCACAGCTGTCTCTCCTGAGTCCATGCTCTTGATGGCTCTACTGAACTGACCCAAAATATACTAAACTCACAATAATGCTGCCTTGGCCAGGAAGTTTGCAGCATGACAGGATTGAGGGGAGATCAAAAAGGACTACAGCAGCATCTTTAGTGTTGTATTTCTTTTTTAAGAAATAGTATGTTAATTTGTAATTTTTGAAAGCATAATCATACATGAAAAAAATGGAAGTGAACTTGTCAAAACGTGAACAGTGCCTGATGTGGATGAGGGGAATATGGGTCATTATTTTTCTTGCACTTTGATACATGTTTCAATTTGAAAGAAAGAAGGAAAACCTGGTGACAGATCCCTTTCCCTCAAAGAATAGGAGGATGGAGCCACGATATTTGCATTAAAAAAAAAACAAAAAACAACTCCAGAGAATCCAGATGTGCAGGGACAAGTGTATTTGGCAGAGAGGTGTGAGGTGTCAGAGAGAGCTCATGGCTTTGAAATCCGGGATCCCATCATCAGCATACATTAGCTGTGTGACCTTGAATGAATGACTCAACCTCTCAGAACTACACTTCCTTCATGAAGAAAATGCAGTAATACCTCCTACACCAGGTTGAATGGGGACCAAATCAAGGATCCTCCGTGCCTGGTTTATCACATGCTGTGGTTCCTCAGACACTAGAATTCAATTTTCTATCTTCCTTCAACACTTTGAATGAGTATAACTTAACTCTGCATTTTGCCAGTCTGTTAAAAAGGGTAGAAGGGATGCTGGTCTGTACAATGTCTAGAGCAACTTCTGAAATATATTTGGAAAAAACACAACACACACTAACAAAAAACCCTTCACCAATCCCAATACAGTGACCTCTGTTTCCTCCTCTGTGAATGTGTGTAATTACCACTTATTGACCATGGCAGGTGAGTTTTGAATAATGCTTTAAAAAGTTCAACCTGAATATGTACAGACACACACACACACGCACACACACACATACACACCTCCTCTGGGTGCATTTTATCTAGTCTTGGTAATTTAGTTACTTGTGGTTTATTTATTAGGTTGAAAACATCCTGTTAATTTACTATTATTTAATTTATTAACTGATTAAGGCTTGACCTCTCAAGGGGAAAATGCTGACTGTATAATAAAAAGGCTAAAATGTTGCATAGGAGCATTTTACAGATACATTCTTCCTCCTGAACAGTTTGTCATTCAGAAAATACTCTGTCTCTCTTCTCTGTGCTCATTGTTTTCTCTCATTCAGGTAGACATTCCCCTCCCCACCGCACCCCCACCTCCTTTGGATAGCCAAGTTCAACGTTTTTAAAAACAGACTTTATTTTTTAGATAGATTTTAGATTTATAGAAAAACTGAGAGGATAGTATGAAAGATTTCCATATACTCTACACCCAGTTTCCCCTATTACTAGCATCTTATGTTAGTATGGAATATGTGTTATAATTAATGCACTCATATTGATGCATTTTCATAAACCAAAGACCATAATGTATTTGAATTTTTTTTAGTTTATATCTCATATCCTTTTTCTGTACTAGGCTCCCATTCCAGACCCACATTACATTTAGATGTTATATCCCTTTAGGCTCCTCCCTTGAGTGTGACAATTCCCAGACGCTTCTTGTTTTTGATGACCTTGATAGTTTTGAGGAATATGGGTCAGGTATTTTGTATAATGTCCCTTAATTGAGGCTTGTCTGATGTTTTTCTCATAGCTAGCCTGAGATTATGGTTTCAGGGGAAGAAGAACACGGAGGTCAAGTACCATTTTCATCAAGTCATACCAAGGGTTAATCCTACCTACATGAGTCATCACTGTTGATATTGACCTTCATCACCCAGCTGATCTACTGTTTATTGGGTTCCCCACCCCCTTTCCATCCTGTCCTGTTTGGAAGAAAGTCACACTGTGCCACCCACACTTAAAGAGTGGGGATTGATTCTCTTCTTTGAGTACAGACTATCTACTTAAATTATTTGTAATTCTTCTGCATGGGAGATGTGTCTCTTCTCTGTTGATTTATTCATTCAGTCACCAGATATAATTTTTTTAAGGACATTTATTTATTTGAGAGAGAGAGTGTGTGTGCACGAGAGTGGCGGGGGGGGGTAGCTCAGAGAGAGAGGGAGAGCGAAACCCAAGCAGACTCTGCACTGAGCCCAACCTGGGGCTCCATCTCACGACCCTGAGATCAGGATGCCAGCTGAAACCAAGAGTTGGACACTTAACCAACTCTGCTACCCAGGAACCCCACGAGATATAATTTTATTAAAGAAAAATTGGGGTAAAAATTAATTGGTTCAAAAATATTCCTTCTTAAAATCCAGGAGAAAAAAATAAAAAAACAAAGCCTAATTTGCTTTGCTTCTATTTAAATTTAATTTCATTCTTTATTAAACATTAAATATGTATAAAACTGATCTGTAGAGGATATAAAGATGACTGAGCTGAGGTTCCCCTGCCTGAAGAAACAGGCCCAGACAGAAAATGTATATACGTAACAAGGCAGATAAGTGCTGCAGTTAAAAGTAAAGTGCTTTGGGGACATGGAGAAGATAGTAGTTAATTCAGGGAGAGCTTGATAAAAGAAGTCTGAAACCAGGGCCAGCTTTCTGTGCATGCAACTAGTGACTCTGATTCTGATTATGAATGGAGAAACAGCAGCCCAGCTAGAATGACTTCACTCAAGTCACACAGTTGGTTAATGTCAGTGTCTGAACTGAAAATCAGGTCTTCCAGTTCCAGATCCCATGTTCTTCTTGCTGCACTCAATTAGAAAATAACCCAGAAGTCCACTATGCATTATCCAAGGCGGAAATGAGTACTTACCTCAAATAAGCGCAAGACTTTGGCCAGGGCACCAACTTCTTCTTTGAGTGAGAAGATCAGAGATATGGCACCATTTTGATTGGAGTTGTCTTCAATATAGCTTGTTTCCTACAAGATGAAGTGCTTTTGGTTAAAATATTTTCTTGTGAAATCTCCAAGGAAGAGGCTGGCATGAACTCTCTCTTACAGTCAAGGCTTAGAATACAATAAGCTACATATATTCTACACAGAATATAATTTCTGGTGGAAAATAAGTAAGTCAAGGGAAGTGATATTTTCAATGATGCTCTTAGGTCAGAATTCAATTTTAGAAAACTTTAATTATTCACTGATGTCACCAGTCATCCTATAGTTTCAATACCTTTTAATGAGCACCTACCAAGTGCCAGACACTATTAGGACTCTGAGATCCAAAAATGAATAATCCATAAATGAATAAATGAATCAGGAGCTCAATATTTGGCTTACTAGACACATACACCACACAAAGATCCTTAGAGATGGTATAAGACAGTTCAAAAAGTATCTGGGAAAACACTGAAAAATATGGTGTGGAAAGTACTAAAAATGGGTGTTTGAGACCAATGACCTGGGTTGAAGTCCTCTGTCTCCCAGTTATCAACTGAAACACTTTGGGCGGATAGCATGGCCTTCTAAGTTTCCTTATCTGGAAAATCATGCTAATCGTAAGCCCTGTCAAAGCAGTATTCACATAATGAAAAAAACAAAAAGATAAAACAGCTTACATATAAAAATGATGGAAATATTATAAATACACAATAATGACTTCTTGGCCTTTGGCAAAGATCTCAGGGAAGCATCACACTCAGGAAAACGTTGTCTGGTATGCTAGTATCTAAGATATCCAGTTATTGAAAGAGTCACAAAATACATAAAAGTAACACAAATAACCTATCAGAAGATGGATGTCTTATACTACACAGCAAAGTTTGACATGGATCTAGCACTTTCTACATGCACGTGACAGCAAACTAAGGTGGGATTAGGGTTGGCGTTACAGGGTTTGCTGCAACCTTTAAAAATTGTACAGTCAAGTTTTACAATAATATATAAAGTTCCATATGTGCCCACAAATCAACAGCATGTATCTAGAACTAGGAAGAAAAGAAACCATGCAGAGCAATTACTCTCTTGTAAGGAAATTACTCTCTTGATGGTTCAACTGGCAACATTCTCTTCTGTTGGCCTCAAAGAAAAGTAACACGTTCCAGATACAACTCAACAGACACCACCTATGACTGGGGCAATTCAGGCTTGAATGCACCCTTCCTCAAGACTCCCATCACCACCACCTTCCTGCCCCTGTGCTGGTCCAAGTCCTATCTGACCTTCTCCAGAAGTGACCCTTGGGGTCAGGTCCTTCTTTTGTTCCTACTGCTACCACACTAATCCAGCTCTTAGTGATCTGTATCGATCCGGCCCTAACAGAATTTTACTTGTGTCCTTCTTCTACTCAGAATTCTTCAAAGGGTCCCCATGGCCAACAGGATAAAATACCTCTTTCTGATATTCAGCAGTATCTTGGGACCTCATCGCCTGAGGCCCACCCACAGGAACTGCCTCTCCAGCAAACTGGCTTTCTCTTTTTCTTTTCAGCTCCTCATTAAAGCAAATGCCCTGCACCACTCTCCCTCCTCCCCTTTCACATATCTTAGCCTGACTCAAAAGCCCTCTTTGGGTCTCACTTCTGCCAGGAGACCACTGTATTCCCCAGCTGAGGTGAACAATCCCTCCTGGTTCTATGCATTCCATTTGGCTTCTGATGCCCATGTGGGACTTGACTCGCAGAGCTGGCCCTGTCTTTAGAGTTCATCTAGTTCCACCCCCTTATTTTGCAGATGGGGAAACTATGCCAGAGAAAGAAAGGTGTCACTCCTCTGAAGTGACACAGGTGGTGGGTAGCAGGTTAATAACCCAGGCTCCTGAATATCATTCTATATAATTCCTTCTGCTATGGGCACTATGTCCCATATTAAGGCCCTTATTTCTTGTAGACCAGTTATTCAATACCCCGCCTGACAGCCTATGCTTGCCCACGCCTGTCCCCTTCAATTTCTCCCCATACGCTTTCTAGATCAGAGTTTTTCAAAGAGTGTTCCTTGTTTCTCCCCTTCAAAATTACCTGGGGATTCTTTGTTCCAGTGCAGATTCCTGGGCCCCACCCTAACCTATCAAATTTGAGTATCAGGGGTAGGATCTTAGAATCTGCATTTTCAAAAGATCCCAGATGATTCTTAACCACGAAAGATTTTGCAACCACTGATAAATGCACAGCCTATTTTTTTAAAATATGACTTTTCTCAAATGTGTCTGCAAATTCACATTTACCATATGATTAGGTACTACTCTTTGTCGTTATTAATATTAATAATAGGACTTGCCATTAAATGAATACCACTATGTGCCAGGAGTCATACTTGGTGCTTTTTATAGTTAATAAACATCATCATTGGCAGCAACTAGCACTGTTATAAGAGTTTACATGTAATTAGCTCATCCAGTCCTCACAATAGCACCATGAGGTAGGTGCTATTATTTTGCAAATGAGGAAATAGACCCTGTTAGGTTCAGTGAATTGTCCAAAGACACCCAGCTAATGAGTGACAGAGCTTGGATTTGAACATGGATCCAACAATTTCACAGTCCTAATTCTGCCTCCCAGTGACAGACCCAACTGAGACAACAGCTCCCCTTTTCAAAACTTGAGGGACCTTAAATGAAAAGAAGCTCATGGAAGTTTGTGATATGGTGTGTGGCCTTGGGTGGATTCTGGTTCCAACCTTGCTATGTTGATCCAGCATGGGACCTTGAGCAAATCTCTCCCAGCATATGTTTTTGGCTCATAATCTATACCTTATTTGTTTTCAAAAGGCATGTGAGTTGACTTAGAAACATCTATACCCAGGATGGGTAAAGGTAGAGAAAAGTAGCTCAGAAACTAGATAGGAAGAAATAGGGCAGGGAAAACGAACTTTACTAGCACCCAGGAAGGAAAGAATTCTGATCATCAGGCAATCCATTTAACAGGAGAAACACATTCTCTATGGTTGTGTCTAACAAATACACTCTGTTATCTTTGGAAAAGAGCATTTTTTCAAAATTACGAACAAAATTTAGTGAGGTATTTCAGGGGCACTTTCAATCTTAGTGTTTTTTGGAGTCATGGTAGGAGGCCTGTATCTGCATGTGTGAATATACACGTACACATCCACAATGGAAGACAAAACCGAAAACAAGATGCAGATATCCTGCCTCGGACACTCTATATTCCAGCCTGTCTCTGCAGGAGGAAGCAGTGTGGTAGAGGAGTGCCCTGGGGGTCGGAAGTGAGATCTGTGTTTGAACACTGGCTTCGCCATTCAGAGCTCTGATTTCCAAGTTCCCCTCCTCTTGTATTCCACTGCCCTGTTCTATTTTTCTCCACAGCTCTTTTCTCTACATGAAATTATGTGTCCATTTGATTTGTTTTTGTTTTGTTTTTCTCCTCCACTAGAATATGTTTCAATGGCGCAGAAACTCTGCTGTGCCCGGCACATAGTAGGGGCACAATTAGTCTCCTGTGTGAATGAAGGAGCCAAACATCTCTTGCAGGGTTGTCATGCCTGTTGTGTGTGTAGAGCACATGATATGTCACGTGCTCTCCAGCCTTGTATCAGAATTATGTCGGGTGTGTGCTATTCATCTGGGTTGGGAGCTTCGAGAAGGCATAAACTATGTCTTTTTTGCAGACTGTCAGAGCTGGAAGGAATCCTAAAGACTATTCCAGTCCAATCCCCCCAATCTACCTCCACCTCAAATTTTACAGATACAAAACTGAGCCTCTTCACCCTGGTTAGGTAACTTCCCCACTACACAGCTTCAGTAAACCAAAGATGAGAGCTCACATCTCTTGCCTCCATGTCCAGCATCCCTCCGTGGTGTAGCTGTCCCAACCACTGTGCTTGACTCAGTGCTTGTCTCTCTTGCCAATGTTCCAGACACATTTTGTCAAACAAACAAATCAGTTCTGGCTAGACACTATGCTCCAGGAATTTTGCTAAGAGCTTTACAGACACTATTTCATTGAATTCTCATCCCAAGTCTAGGACATGGGTATTTTTATTCCAATTTTTCAAATGGATAAGCCTGAAGCTTTGCAAAGTTCAATACCCTGCTTTCAATACAAAGGTATTACCCAGCCTGTTCTAAACCTTCCTCTCTACCCCCAGTCATCAAGAGTAAGAATCTGTGGTTCTCAGTCTTCTAAGTGTTCTATAAATAAAGCTTTAAGCTCCCATGGCTCCCTAACCAGATCACTGTCCCACTTCCTCCATTGCCAATGGCACTGGAAATAAATGATGACAGAGCCAGGATCTGTTCTGGGATCTGTGTGATGCCTATGCTATCCCTCCTCAGTAGGAAGTTCTGTCAATCAAGCACTGCATACCTTTTTCAAAGGAAGTCTTTCTTACGGGACTCAAAAAAAGTCAGTCCAAAGTTTTGTGGTTTCTCTAGTTATACTAAAACATCAACCATTCTCTCCTCTCCAGCCTATCTGTTCCCTAGATGGCTCTCACTAATCCTGCAGATGACACATGTCTGTAAAGTCGTGTTATCTCCCCGGGCTGGGCTTTAAGTTGAATCCTAGAACCTGGGAGTGTGATAAGTCAATTAAAGAATGTGTTCTGCAAGTTTCCACCTCAAGAGAAAGGCAATGAATCCCAGAGAACAGAATACACCCTGAGCATTATCCCCAAGTCACATCTAGGGTTCTCTCAAATTCCCAGTCCAGGGCTAAGTCTTGTTCATTTTCCTCTCTGTTTAATTTTCTCTTTCCCCAGGTCTGAGTAAGTCTGAGACGTCCTCATGCCTCATTTTCTCCCAAAGGTGAAAAAAGGATATAATTTCTTACAATTTTGCCATTGTGATAGCTGGCTGAGAGCACTTCATAAATATGACAGTAGAGCAGATCTAGAAGAATCCCATCTCCCATTCCAGATCATTACGAACCAGCTGCTTCAGGGTAGGAAAGAGAAAACAGGCAACAGAGAGGGATAGTGACTTGTCCAAAGACACACAGCTAGTTGGGGGCAGCTCTGAAAGCCGGATCCCCAACTCCTAAAGCAGCATTCTTTCCCTGAAAGCCCCACAGGATAGATGTCCTTCCCTAGGGAACAGTTGTTGAGGACCTGTGCTATCTGTTGCCTTCCTGGACATTTTCATCACCTTCAAATAAATTCAGACTCCTCCGTGAGCTTAAGGGAGTAGGAAACAACATTCCTCAGGCCCTTTACCACCAGGGATCAAATTCCCCTCCCTGCGCAGCGTGCAGCCGGGCCAGTTCTGGCTCACCTGTGCGTAGGAGAGTTTCCGGCCGAAGCTTCCGTTCCCCAGGACCGTAGCTGACATGCTGGCTCCCCTCGTGAGTAAGGTCTCTAACTCTGGGGCGTCGGTGGCAGGCAGTTTTGCAAACAGCACGTGCTGCTGAGGTTTTTAACCTGGCGTTAGGAGGGGAGGACAGATTCCAAAGATGTCCCCTGCGAGGTACCCGCCACAGTAACGCCCCCGGTAGGCGTTGTCCTGACGCAGTGGGCTCCAGGTCATCCAGCGGGGCCGCCCCGAGGGGAGGGTGTGGTGCGCCCCCCCCCCCCCGGAGGCCGGACTTGGCTGCAGGCCCTGGATGGAGCTTGGGGCTACCTGTCTGCTGGAGATTAGGTAGGGTTGGCAAGTCCGTGATTCGAGAGCACGGGAAGCGGGTTCTCTGCAGTGCGAATAACCTTGAGATCTGCTGATGACAAAAATTGTAAGAAATAATCCTTTCTTCCCCCACCCGCCTCCCCATGAGGGCAGAGCGGGGATCCTAATTTAGATTTCGATTAGGGGTCAGGGGCAGGGTCCTTTCTATTAACCATTAAGCCAACTATCTTTCTGTGCTTTGACTTCAGAAAGCTACATAGAGGTAGCATTGTAACCCTGAGCACAGCAATAAAGAGCAAAGGTAAGAGCACAACCTGGGTTGCAATGCATTCGCATGTCCTCGAGCTGTTTACGTAACTGCTGAGAGCGCCCAAAAGACAGTGGTAGAGCCACTTTGCCAGGATCTTGTGAGAATATGAATAAGAATGAGGTAATGCATTAAACATTTAGTACAGTTCTTGCCATATAGCTCAACACTCAATAAATAGAAGGTACTGTTTAAAAGGATGTGACGACAAATAATCACTGAGGACCTCTACTGTGGGCCAAGCAGTATTCCAGGCACTGAGGATCAAGCAGTGAATGAAGTAGAGGATCCTGCCTCCCCTGCCAGGCTGCCATTCTGTGTGCAAGACAGAAAATAAATTAATAAATAGGTTTAGTGCTAAGCCTTCAGAAGAAAATAAAACAGGGGGAGGGGCGAGGACTGAGCTGGTGGGTATTGAAGAGCGGACTCCTTCAAACAGGTAGGAAGATGTCATTCACCCCCATATTTTCAGATCAGGAATCTGAGATGAGGCATTCATTGCCAGTGGGAAAACAAAATTAAAAAAACACACTGCTAAGTCAGAGGTTCAGAAAAGATGTGAAAAAATCGGGGCATCAAAGCCTTGAGGGCCTGCCTAATATTTACCCAGGATAGAAAACAAGCCAATAATAGAGGTTGCTAGAAATCCACCCCCTTCCCCTCCCACAATTTCGTGACAGAGTGACAAAGCATCTGCCAAAGGAAAAAAAAAAAATTCTCATATTTGATATTCAAAACCAGTGGACTAACTCCCAGTTCCACCGCTGATGAGCTGTGTAGCTTTAGCTTTGGTCAAATCCATGCCTCAGTTTCTTAGTCTTTAAAATGGGGTTTTTAAGGATTGTTGTGGAGGATTCCTTGAGCCTCTATGATGTGCCAGGCTGCTAAGAATAGAGACATAATTAAGTGTAATTTCTGTCCAAAAGGAGTCCTTGAATGTCTGGTTCATATTTTCTATGGTAAATCGGAAGATCAGTGTTGTTGAACATGGAAGAACAAACCCTGACTTCCGCCCTCAGGAGAATCTGTATCCTTTAAATGACTCCAGTGTTTTTTTAGTGTGGGAGACATGAAATAAAGAGTTTTCCTGAGCCCCAGGACTGCCTGACAAGCATCGTTCATCCCCTGCTATTGCTGGCATACTGAGAACAATGGACGGGACAGCACCCATATTCTAAGGGCATGCAATAAATGAAAGCCAACAATGACAGCCACTTGTTTACATGCACACTGAATGTTCGTTGCTGTGCCAAGATCTTCACACACATAATTTCATTTCTTCTGCTCAATAATCCCATGCCCAATGTATCCCCACTTCACAGATAAGGAAACTGAGACCCAGGAAGTTTGAATAAGTAGTCCAAAATTGAACTACATTTCACCCAATTCCAGGACACTGGCTCTTAAATACTCTTTTCTTCCTTTTTGAGATATAAACAAGTGATTTTCGGAACAGCAAAAATAATAGCACATCTCTTTTCTCCTCACACCAGCTACAAATGGAATTCTTTATCCAATCTCACATACAAATGCCCCAGACCTGGGTTGGGAGTAGAGCACACTTGATTCTCAGCTACCTCAGAGGAAAACACTGATAACCTTCTTTTAACCTCTGGAAAACAGTATGGAGGTTCCTCAAAAGTTGAAAATAAAGCTACTGTACGACCCAGCAATTGGGTATTACCCCTAAGATACAAATGTAGTGATCGGAAGGGGTACGTGCACCCCGATGTTTATAGCAGCAATGTCCGCAATAGCCAAACTACGGAAAGAGCCAAGATGTCCATCAACAGATGAATGAATAAGGAAGATGTCACACACACACACACACACACACACACACACACACACACACACTGGAATATTATGCAGCCATCAAAAAAAAAAGAAATCTTGCCATTTGCGACGACGTGGATGGAACTAGAGGTTTTATGTTAAGCGAAATAAGTCAACCAGAGAAAGACATGTATCATATGATCTCACTGATATGAGGAATTCTTAATCTCAGGAAACAAACTGAGGGTTGCTGGAGTGCGGTGGGGGTGGGAGGGATGGGGTGGCTGGGTGATAGACATTGGGGAGGGTATGTGCTATGGTGAATGCTGTGAATTGTGTAAGACTGTTGAATCACAGACCTGTACCTCTGAAACAAATAATACATTATATGTTAGGAAAAAAAAAAAAAAAGAAGATAGTAGGAAGGGAAAAATGAAAGGGGGGAAATTGGAGGGGCAGATGAACCATGAGAGACTATGGACTCTGAGAAACAAAGTTTGGGTTCTAGAGGGGAGGGGGGTCAGGGAATGGGTTAGCCTGGTGATGGGTATTAAAGAGGGCACGTATTGAATGGTGCACTGGGTGTTATACGCAAACAATGAATCATGGAACACTACATCAAAAATTAATGATGTAGGGCGCCTGGGTGGCTCAGTTGGTTAAGCGACTGCCTTCGGCTCAGGTCATGATCCTGGAGTGCCAGGATCGAGTCCCGCATCGGGCTCCCTGCTCGGCAGGGAGTCTGCTTCTCCCTCTGACCCTCCTCCCTCTCATGCTCTCTGTCTCTCAAATAAATAAATAAAAATAAAATCTTTAAAAAAAATTAATGATGTAATGTATGGTGATTAACATAACATAATAAAATAAAATTTAAAAAAATTATTCCAGCAAAAAGGGAAAATTTCTCTATGCACTAAGATAAAAACTCCTATTGCTTGTGATAGAAATTTTTTAGAGGATATTTAAACCATCTTCTTGTTTAATTGGATGGAATACAATGTGTTGGTCTTACTAGTTAGGGCTGTGCTGATTCCTAAGAAAATTGCACCAGACCCCAGTGCAAATCTAGAAGGAGCGTCCAAGAATTCAGCCTGCAGACCACTGAGGTATTGTGAATGGCCACACAGAGGGGCACCATGTCGCAAGTGGGGTAGCTGGTACACTTAGAGCTGACCTTCACTGATTTAGAAGTTGAAGATTTCCCAAGCACTGCAGGTTATCAAGCAATCCCTTTTCATTTAACCTCATATGTGGAGGGTTGAGTTAATCATAATCTATGATTTCATGGCACATAATCAAAACACAAGATCCTTTCTTGGTTTATTTATTCATTCTCTTTTATCTTCATTCCCCACCTCCATTCCCTTCTCCCAGGGGTGACATCCCTAAAATTTTTAATACTCAGCCCTGGATTTTTAAAATGCATGGAAATATTGGTGCACATATGTACTTTCCATGGATATGAGTGATGTTGTAGTATAGTTTTACTATAGAATGTAAATGTACTATAGATTTCATAGTTTCTAACTTTTTCTTTCACCATATTCTTAGGATCTAACCATGCTGTGAATGTACATCTAGTTCTTTGCTTTCCTAACTGGTATAGAGTACTCTGCAGTGTGTATCCACTCCATTTGATTTCTCCATTCCCCTAGTCTGTCTCTAACTCTCCCCACCCCAAACAATTCTGTGATAAAACATCTTCATCCTTGTCCCCTTAGAGACCTGTGTGAGAATTTGTCTTGAATAGAAGGGTGGGATCATGAATCATAGGGAACATGCATTCTTAACTGCACAAACTATGGTCAGATGGCCCTAATGAATGGCTTGTACTAGTCCACACCCCTACCAAAAAGGCCAAATAGTTCCTGTTGCTGGGGATCCCCAATATCTGGCATTTTCCAAATGTCTGACTCTTTGCCAATCTCATCAGTTTGAAGAAGTATGCCCTTGCTGTTTGTATTTTGCATTTCTCTTATGACAACTGGGTTTGAGCATCTCTTTAAACATTAATGGCACTTAGATTCCCATGCTGTGAATAGTTCATTATATCCTTTGCCTATTTTTCTATTGGGATTCCTGTTTCTCCCCGTGTTGACTTGCAGGAATAATTTGTATAGTGCAGGTATTAGCACTGTGCTTTTCTCAGTCACTGATCTATCTATCCTAATCTATCACTGTCAGTTAACTGTCAACTGGTGTTCTTCCTTGAGGAAAAAAAAAAAAGAAAGAATTCTGATATAACAAAAATTTATCTTTTAAAATTTGCGTGGGTTGGGGCACCTGGGTGGTTCAGTTGTTAAGCATCTGCCTTCGGCTCAGGCCCTGATCCCAGGGTCCTGGGATCAAGCCCCGCATCGGGCTTCCTGCTCAGCAGGGAGCCTGTTTCTCCCTCTCCCACTCCCCTGCTTGTGTTCCTTCTCTCGCTGTGTCTCTCTCCGTCAAATAAATAAATGAAATCTTTTAAAAAAATAATAAAATTTGGGGTGTCTATTTAAGAAGTCCTTCCTCATCTCTAAGTTACAAAGATATTCTCTTCTTCCATCATCATTAGTTTTATCTTTCATACTTGGATCTTTAGTCTATCTGCATCTCTTTGTGGATGTGATACAGTAATGACCCAGGAGGTTTTTTCTCTCTTTCCTCTCTTCATGTCGTGAATCAGTTTTTTAACAACATGGACAAAGACTTTTCCTCATTGACTTTTTATGTCAGAATTTTCTGAGTTGAGATGAAATGATCTCTTCTCACAGATGCACAGTAAGAGA